ACCTGTACTTCTACTTCTTACATGTTGAACCCAAATACCTGTACTTTCTACTTCTTACTGTTGAACACAAATACCACTTTCTACTTCTTACATGTTGAACACAAATACCTGTACTTTCTACTTCTTACATGTTGAACACAAATACCTGTACTTTCTACTTCTCACATTTCCCAAACAGGCTGGTTCCTTTAGTTTGAATGTGTGTTTGGTGCGTGATCATTATTATTTAGAGTCATTGCGTGCCTATTGATTTGAACACGATCCGTGTATCCATCATTTCCTGGTCTTCTCTAAAGAAGAGGGACCAATGAAAACGTTGTCATGTTGCCGTTGTTCAGCATGGAAACATTCATTAGCTAACAATGACATTATTGTTCTATTAATATAAAGGGAGGTCAGGTACTCTTTAAAACAGCTGCTAGTTATGGGTACTTTTTACTGAAGTACATTTCAAAGCCCTCTTTACTTTGACTTGAGTAAAGAAGTTTAGTCAGTACTTCTACTTTCACCAGAGTATTTTTAAACACGAGTATCTGTACTTCTACTCGAGTAAAGGAAGTGTGTACTTTCGCCATCTCTGATTAATAATGCCAATAATTCAGATTCTTTACCTTCTGTCATATCCATAAGGGTACTGTTGTCTCTGGCCCATCTGCATGTTCCCCATTGGTCCTGGGGGGCCTCTGTTATACTGCTCTCCCATCCCACTGTTGGGCCCCGGCTGCATGAACTGCTCTCCAGCTGAAAACAAGGGGACAAATCACAGATTATAATAATACATTTCATTTTGATAAGATAAGTACTTTATTGATCCTAATTTGGGAAATGTTTGCGTTGCAGCAGCATAAAAAAGACAAGGCATTGTAGAAATTAAAAGACTAGAAATAATCCAAACTGTAAACGTCTCAAATATATCAAAAATATACATGAATGTAAAATGTGTGATTTTCCAGTCGACAGAATTTCATAGTGTTTTATTTGTTCTGCTTTAGGTGTCGCTCACCTTTCCTCATACCACCAAAGGGGTCTTTGTTTGTTTCGTAGGGGCCCATTCGAGCAATCATCTCGGGGCCCCCCATGCCGGGTTGATAGCCCTGTGAATTGGGGGTCAGAGCGTTTCTCCTGGAGAAAGCGGGGTCTCCTCCGTCAGCAAAAGGGTCCTGCAGACTCACACTACTCCTAAAAGGAGAGAGGAGGAATACAGACATGATTTTACTTCTTGGACGCACAGAAAAACCACCAGACTAAAAGTAAAGTGCCCCGATAAACACTCATCTGTTTGTCATCTACTTATACATAGTTATGCACCGCAATAAACCGTATTTAGAGATATGAAATACTATGTGGGGAATATTTACTGTGTATATTCTACAGTTCTTTTTAAGAAAAATACATATTACTGCACTTATTATTCCATATAGTGTTTTATGTGTTTTATTGCAGTCATTTTAGCCACAAATACTTAATTTAAAGCATTTATTTAAAATTATTATTGTGGAAATTATTACTACTACAATTACTTTTTTGAATTATTGTATTTATTATAATTATTAGTGTTTTTAATTATTATGTATTTATGATTGCATTTCAAATTTTCTATTTATTTCTATCCAATTAATTTTTTTATATTTTATTTTTTGAAGAGTGCTCTTGTGTCCTACGTCTTTTGTTCTACAGTGTATACAAGTATCATAGGCAATACCATGTTTTGTTATCTTCAAATATGCCTCACTTCTTTGTAAAAAAACATAAATAAAGAATAAATCTGTTTTTCTTTCTCAACTATTACTCTATTTTTTACACGTATTAACACTCTGTTTAGTTGTGTGTGTGTCACTTTCATTTCAATCTGATGACTCCTGATATCCCAGAAACACAATATATAATATATATATATATATATTTCTAACATGGTACCTGGCTCCGGGCATTGGAGGCAGCTGGGGGGTGGAGGCGGGGGTCGGGGGCTTCAGGTCTCCCCCCTCTGCCATGGAGCTGCTGGTGGACTGAGGAGTCTGGGGGCCCTGCAGGGATCCAGAGCCAGCTGAGGAACAAGGACACACACTTAGTGCTTAGGAGAGGAAAAAGATGTGTGGGTTTTATTATTTACATTTTATAACACACATGGATATTAAAAACACCACATTTCTAACAACCAGAACAAGTGTTATATAGAACATTATTTTTGTAACTTGACAGATATTGCCTGTATATAGGGAAGATAATCAATATAATAAAACATTTTTACTGCATTCTGGATCAATTCAAAAGCACCATTAAGTGTCACATTTGAAAAGATCCCACACTAGCAAAGAACACCACGGCAGCCGCCAGACTCCTCACCCACACCAAATCATGGCATCACATCACCCCTGTCCTCAAAGAACTCCACTGGCTTCCCGTTTCTCATCGCATCCACTACAAACTCCTGGTCCTCACTTTACAAAGCCCTCCACCATCTGCTCCCCCCCCCCCCCCCTACCTCACTGACCTCCTCATGCTCTACCATCCTCCCCGGACCCTCAGATCCACTTCAGTCGGTTTGCTTTCCACCCCCAGGGCCAAACTCCGGAGCTTTGGGGACAGAGCCTTCTCAGTGGCAGCCCCGAAGCTCTGGAACTCCCTCCCCCAAGACATCCGTGAGTCTGAGTCCCTCACCCTGTTCCAGTCCCGCCTCAAAACCCATCTCTTCATCTCTGTCTATCCATAGAAGTGGGTAAACTGAGCCCTGCTGTGGGGCTTTCAGGGAACACACGCTGCTTTCAGCAATCCTAAATCCCATTAAGGTATTTCTGAGCGCAGCACAGAGGAAACACAGGTCGGTGTCAAGCTGACTGGATTTTTTTAAAGTGTGAAGACAGCAATAGAAAGTGTTGAGTCTTACGGATCCATCACAGCATGACATAGACACCCCCCCACCCCCCTTTGAGTAACCAGGAAATAATGATCTAAAACATGACTCTGATGTTATCAAGCTGGTGAAATGGGTAAAAGGAGTTGAAGTCCCTGCATAGCCCCTGTATCAGGAATTGTCCAGTCGCCCAGTAAATCCCCAAATTATCAATTAAAGCATCTGTGTCATAATTTCACAACTTGAAAAACATTTTATATTCGTTATACCATTATAGTAACAACCATAAAAAGTTACATTTAACATTATTTCAGTACAGATTTGCGGGAAAATATTCAAAATAATGAAATTTGGATCCAGTTTTTGGAGATATTTTAGGAGACATCAAGTGTACCATCTAAAGATCCTACCAGAGTTTCCGTTAGCTTTGACCGGTAAAAATATACTGAAGACCGGCAAATCTAAATCTCTCCAGTCAAAATAATTTCCCCTTAGCGCAATACCGCGTCAGTTGCGCCACTTATGTGACAGACAAGAAGAGTATGTGACAGACAAGAAGAGTATGTGACGGACAAGAAGAGTATGTGGCAGACAAGAAGAGTATGTGACAGACAAGAAGAGTATGTGACAGACAAGAAGAGTGTGTGACAGACAAGAAGAGTATGTGACAGACAAGAAGAGTATGTGACAGACAAGAAGAGTATGTGACAGACAAGAAGAGTATGTGACAGACAAGAAGAGTATGTGACAGACAAGAAGAGTATGTGACAGACAAGAAGAGTATGTGACAGACAAGAAGAGTATGTGACAGACAAGAAGAGTATGTGACAGACAAGAATAGTATGTGACGGACAAGAAGAGTCATTCTAATGTCTAACACGTGGAGAAAGAGATGTCCTGTATGGGTTGATTGTGCGTTGATCTGTTGGTAATGCCTCGGGGTTCCGGTAGGCATGTAAACAAATGCATAATGCTGCGCTATACTTTGCGGCCTCGCCCGGTTGCATAGCGACGCTTATTGTTGAGGTGTCTTTTGATAAGCAGGTAGTCATATCATTAGCTAGAACTAGCTAGATCTGATCGATATGGACATAAACGCGAGTGAAATCTGACGGGAGAGAGAGATCAGCTGCTGCTGATGAGTCGATACGCAGCTCTGCATGATCCCCTGCAGCGGTGAGCGGAGCAAAACACACACTTCAGTTAGAATATCACACGTAGCTATTTTAATTACCTCTCAAACTACCTAAACTAGTTATAGATATGTTTAGTTTTACTGTCGGGTCACTCATTACTGGATCCGCGAGCTGCATGATACTAGCGGGCTGTCAGGAGAGAGAGAGCGCTCCGTTTATTATTCCCGTGTTATTGTAAGTTACTGAACACGTTTGAATAATGTAGTTAATCTACTATAATTAGTTTGTTTAATATCTAATCATATCAATTTGTTTTAAAGCTCAATAAATAACAAAGAAGACCTTTGACCGGCACTGTTCTCATTTTGTCCAGAAGATTTCAACTTTAACGGACATGTTGACCGGCAAAAAAAGATTCTAACGGAAACTCTGGATCCTACAATACCTTACAACATGTAATCTTTATACTAAATATTGCTTAAAGTTAGCATTAAAACATCTTAAAATATGTCAACGTAAACGCATAAAACGAACGCAGTCAATCTAGAAACCTTAACCGGTGGGGCGGGAAAAAAAAATCATGCTTTAGCTAAAAGTCAGAAAATTGTCAGACTTCATGCCAATAATTCAGAAATCACGTCATAATAAAGTAAAAAACCTTCTGATTTCTCAGACCAGCGTGTCATGCATTCCTTCACTACAACACCACACCTGTATTTGTTTCATTCCCTACAAAAAAAAACAAGCAACTACTAGTATTTAAAACGTGTGATGAATCAAAACAAGTTAAAAAAAGACGGCTGCCTGACCTGTACAGACAGTGTGTGTGTGTGTGTGTGTGTGACATCTCATACTTTACTTTCCGCTATCACTATTAGCACGCCAGTCTGATGACTCACAGGTTCCCATTCATTAAACAGCCACACACACATACAGGCAAAGCGGGGGTCAGTTGGCAGGTCACCACAACACACACACACACACACACACACAACACACACACACACACACACACACAACACACACACACACACACACACACACCACACACACACACACACACACACACCCACACACACACACACACACACACACACACACACACACAACACACACACACACACACACACACACACACACACACACACACACACACACACACACACACACACACACACACACACACACACACACACACACACACACACACACACACACACACACACACACACACACACACACACACACACACACACACACACACACACACACACACACACACACACACCAGGGTCAGTTGCAGGTCACATTTATTCACATTTTCTCACATCACTCTGTCTCTCTCTTACACACAGACACATTACACACACACACATTGCACACACACATTACTCCAACTCCTCCCCCCCCTCCTCCCCCTCCTCCCTCTGGGCAGGGATTTCCCTCCACTAAAGAAGAAGGGGGAAGGGGAGGAGGAGGGGGATCTCGTGAGGATGGAAACAAAACGAGTAGAGTCACACAGAGAGAGAGAGAGAGAGAGAGAGAGTGACTTTTACACACACATTCAACCCCATTCATCATTTCTGGCTCAGCACTAATCTCCAGGGAGCTCTGTAGCCCTGGGCCGGGGGGGGGGGGGGGGGGGGGGGCATCACTATCGCCAAATCACCTCCTCCTCCCCCCCTTCCTCATTTCTAACTGCAGGGCTGATGCCAGCTGACGGGGTCCCTGATGTCTCCTGTATCGTTTCCCCGGCGCTGACTCAGGGTCTGACAGCAGCACATGGTCTCTGCTGGCAGCTAAAAAATCGAGTCCCTCCAAAACAAACAGCTTCCAGGCGTCACACCCCCCACACCCCCCCCTTTAACCTCTGACTGACTGCCAGTTCACACACACTGACTTTTAGTATCCGACATTCATTGAAAGATTTGGCATGCTGCAGGAAATACTGATGATAGGAGATTAAAGACGACACATTCTGCTCATTTTCAGGTGTATATCAGTATGTAGTGTCTCTACTTTAAAGAGTCCTCTCCTGCTGATGTTCAGGTGTATATCAGTATGTAGTGTCTCTACTTTAAAGAGTCCTCTCCTGCTGATGTTCAGGTGTATATCAGTATGTAGTGTCTCTACTTTAAAGAGTCCTCTCCTGCTGATGTTTAGGTGTATATCAGTATGTAGTGTCTCTACTTTAAAGAGTCCTCTCCTGCTGATGATCAGGTGTATATCAGTATGTAGTGTCTCTACTTTAAAGAGTCCTCTCCTGCTGATGATCAGGTGTATATCAGTATGTAGTGTCTCTACTTTAAAGAGTCCTCTCCTGCTGATGTTCAGGTGTATATCAGTATGTAGTGTCTCTACTTTAAAGAGTCCTCTCCTGCTGATGTTCAGGTGTATATCAGTATGTAGTGTCTCTACTTTAAAGAGTCCTCTCCTGCTGATGTTCAGGTGTATATCAGTATGTAGTGTCTCTACTTTAAAGAGTCCTCTCCTGCTGATGTTCAGGTGTATATCAGTATGTAGTGTCTCTACTTTAAAGAGTCCTCTCCTGCTGATGTTCAGGTGTATATCAGTATGTAGTGTCTCTACTTTAAAGAATCCTCTCCTGCTGATGTTCAGGTGTATATCAGTATGTAGTGTCTCTACTTTAAAGAGTCCTCTCCTCCTGATGTTCAGGTGTATATCAGTATGTAGTGTCTCTACTTTAAAGAGTCCTCTCCTGCTGATGTTCAGGTGTATATCAGTATGTAGTGTCTCTACTTTAAAGAGTCCTCTCCTGCTGATGTTCAGGTGTATATCAGTATGTAGTGTCTCTACATGTCTCCATGCTTTAATGTTCAAAAAGCACTTTATTTTTCTCATACTGCCTGTGCTGCAGCACCTCTTTTCACCCTCTGTCTGAAACCAGAGCCCAGTCTGCTCTGATTGGTTAGCTGGCCGGCTCTGTTGTGATTGGTCAACCGCCTAGAGATGTCCCGCCCCTTAGCCTATCACGTACAATGCGTTTTGAAAAAAAATAAAAAAATAAAAAAAGCATGAGTGTTATATAGTGATGTCACTTTGACCCGGAATTTTTTTTAAAAATCTGAAAAGTGGTGTTTATATGTGCCGATTATCCCGCTGAAGGAAACGTGTAAGTATCATAAACGTTTGTTTGCCAAGAACCGTATTTATAATTTCCGGTTCAGCCTACAAAAACCTCACTGCACCACTGAACTGCAGTGTGATGAATCTCTAATCTCACATTGAGAAACACTTGCTAATCTGGAACCCATTCATTGATACATTTAATTCATAATCCTCATTCCCATATCAGCCACCACCCCTTTCAACTCATTTAACCTGTTGAGCCCTGAGCCTGTTTTTCAGGCCTCAGGCTCGAAAATGACATGCCCAGAACAAATGACTATAACTTCACTTCTAAAAGGGGTAAATGAATAATCTTTTTTCTCAAAGTAATGATAAACCTGTGAGTTGGATGTAGAAAAGTCAGAATCAATATAGATGTTTTTAAATTTTAAAGTAAATTCAGATTGAACATAGTAAAAAAATTTAAATTATAGTGTCCGTCCAAAAATAAAACATTACTTATAGTGAAAACCACCCTTGGATGATGGGATAGTAGACTAAAAGCTTTAGGAATCCAAACTATAACATATAATAAGTACCCTGTATCAAGATTGATGCAAAACAAGTGACATTTTAACTTTTTAGAGAGGTTTAGCAAAAAAAAAAAAACCTTTGGGGTCATTTGGGTGGATGTGGGTGTATTTGCCGTTTCTCTGGAACCCATTGGTCGATTTCGATGAACCGTTAGAGCCAATATAATTGAAGGGAAAGTTCCACATACACACACACACACGTTACCATTGAGAAGTGAAAGCTATGCGCACGCAGTCGAAAGCTATCTTACGCTCTGAAATCTGAAAACTGAAAGCTAGGTTTATTGCTGATGGATTATCAGTTTTCACTTTTGATCAGAACAAAAGCAAAAGGAAAGACATATTGCCGTTTTTACCTCCGTAATGCTACGTGTTGTGAAGTCTGGTTTTGTTTCCCATGTCGCGTTATGATGACGTGCTATATGTGACATGTATGTAGTAACGTGTGTTTGCATGTTATTGTTCTCTTTGATCCTTTCGCCTCTATCTACTTGTCTTTCATCCTGTCTTTATAACTAATGCTGTTGATGTGTTGTGTTTTAAAAAGGTGTCTTTTATCATCTGGCCGGAGACAACAGCTGGAAATTAGCAATGTTGGCTAAAGCTAATGCCCCGTTTACTGTTGTTTGTGACCGTTGATCAATGGGGACTCTCCGTGACACTATAAACAAATAAACTAAACACTTGCTAGTGCTTCTGAATTTGGGGAATTCTCACCTGGGCTGGGGGGCTGGGCCTTGGGCGGGTTCTTTTTGGAGTCGGTGTTGAAAAAGTCCGCTGGCGGGTCTTCGCCGCGCTCGATCTTGCACTCGAAGGCGTACAAACACTGGATGTACTGTTTCTTTAGCGAGCTGGCAGCGCTGCTCGATGTTCCCACGTTCAGGTTGGTAGACAGCTCTCTCCACTTCTTGTTCTTGTTCACCTGGTGGGCGAGAGACAAGAGAGGAAGACTTGAGGAATTATTGTCTGTTATTAAAACACTGATATTCTGATATTCTGTTCTGAGACGACACTGCTGTGCAATAACAGTGGGATATATACTTTTTGAAATTCATTTTTTTGTGTTATTACTGGCTGTTACTTTAAGATGTTCACTTATGGCGCGTTTCCACTACACGGCCTCGCTCGGCCTCGCTCGGTATGGCTAGGCCTTGTTAGGGCCGGCTCACTTTATGGCGCATTTCCATTACAGTTTAGGAACTGGGGTAGTATCTATAGTAACGCAGTGTAGGCGGAGCCGTGACATCATCTTCAATGAGAACCCCAGAAAAACAACACAGCCGTTAGCTGTTAGCACTCAGAGCTCACAGCTCCTCATATATGTTCAGAAACTAGACAAAAGTTAAACAAGTACAAACCACAGACTGCCTGTGTCATGGCGAATACAGTCGCTGCTTTATTTATGTCTGTATAGGCCGTTGTTGTGAGTGTGGACGGTCGGAGCATACACTGCGTTAGCTTAGCCAATCTCCATTTAGAAAACACGCATTTTAAAAGGTTTTTCCCCTGCCGTCTGTCTGCAGACTTGACAAAGCATTAATTCATGGTTTTTACTAACCGGTATCAGTATGTTGTTACTTCAGCATCATTTTGAAACGTGTATTACAATTAAATCACGGTCAAATATGTCCATCTTGTTGTAGTTGTTGCCCCCTTGTCAGCGATGCTCTCTCTAGTTTAGCATACTCAGCCCGACTCAGCCTCGATGTCTCTGGCCCTAGACCCACGATTTTATGAGGCCAGAAAAACTGTGAATTAGGACCCGCCGGCCGGTACTAGGCCAAGTGGAAACGCAACCAAAAACGGGCCGCTGACGTCACAGCTCTCTTAAACCGTGCTCCGCGCTGTAGTGGAAACGCGCCATTAGTCTTATGGTGCTAGTTCTTGTTTTTTTAATCTACTGTTTTAAATTGGTTTGTCCATGCATGTACTTCGCTCAAAATAAAAGCGAAATTAAGTATATGTAGGTATAAGTAGAACAAAACAAAGAAAACAAGCCTACTATAAATCTGAAATTTAAGTTAATTAAAGAAAAAAAATTACAAAAGTAAATAATACAAATAAATAAATATAATAATATACAAAGTATTTATGTATATATACACATCAAATATACAAGACATATATAATAATAATTATAATAAAATAAAATAACATTTCTTTTACCATAGATATGTGCTTACTTTTTTGTTGTTGATGCGCGCTTGCCTCTTATCTAATTATGTTACTACTCATTTTATTTTCTCCTTTATCTGCACTCTCCCTGTAGATTTCCCCGTCGTTGGGCGAATGAAAGTTTTCCTTATTCTGATTCAAGTACCTGTGTGAGGCCTCCGATCTCTTTGACGGACACGTAGAGTCTGTAGAGGTCCAGAGGTTTGCGTCCCACAGCAGGAAGGTTGTTCATTCCCATCGCCTTTTCCTCCGCGAAAGCCAGAAATCGATCGACCCACATCTTCCTCTCCGGCTCCGGGCCGAGCTCATACAGACGGGTGATCTTTTCGTTAGTGAGGGTGGAAGAGCTCGACTTCTGCAAGGGCGAAAGAAGGGAAGAAATCGTGAGGAAAAGCTTCAAATTAGGGATGCTCCGATCGCCAATTTTGGGGCCGATCGCCGGAATCGGTATCGGCCAATACCGATCGCCGATCCGATCGAGTGGGCGGGGCCTATGGGGAGCTTCCATTTAAAGTGATGTTTAAAACTCAGTTAATGGGGCCAACATAATTATTACATTCAAATGAAGTACATTATTCAAGTTTTCATTAACTTTGGAGAATAACACGGGAGAAATGAGCAGAAGCGCTCTCTCTCTCTCTCTCTCTCTCCCTCTCCCCCTCTCTCTCTCCCTCTCCCCCTCTCCTGACAGCCTGTCAGTATCGTCTCATGCAGCTCACTGATCCAGTAATGAGTGACCCGACAGTGAAGAATAAATATATGTATAACTAGTTTAGCTTGTTCCAGAGGTAGATAAAATAGCTAAGTGTGTTAGGTCTAACTCTTAGTGTGTGTTTTGCTCCGCTCACCGGTCCGTCACCGCTATTTTATTGTAATTTTCGGACATCTTAAAATACTGCCAGACTTGTGAAGCCATTTTGGCGAGCTTGTTTTGCCGCGCACGGAGAACAGTGTCATGTATTTTACGTCATGTGATCGGCTCTCACGATCGGCCTTTAGATATCGGCCGATATTCACTCTCTGCCGATCGATCGGTGCTCTCTATTCAATTAGCCTTTTATAAGTGAGATAATACAGAAAGAAAATAGCTTTCAAAACATTAAAAGGACAACAACAGCAACCTTGGGGCACATTATTAAATTATATAATACAAGTAAGTGAATAAAAAAAATCCTCAACCAAAATACATTTTATAAAAAAAATACAAAACGGCAAAAAGTTTCCATATTTGACAGCTTTTTCTGTGTGTGTGTGTGTGTGTGTGTGTGTGTGTGTGTGTGTGTGTGTGTGTATGTGTGTGTGTGTGTGTGTGTGTGTGTGTGTGTGTGTGAATCTAAATGATTCAGCAATTATCCACATAATTATTTCTGCAGATTAACTTGTTAATTTACTGCAGAATTGTTTTACTAAGATCATTTCATTCTACCTTTTTTGTTGTTGTTGGTGTTGTTGTTGTTGTTTCGGGCTTGGGAGTCCCCTCCACTTTGTTGTTGATCTTCTGAGCAGGGTTCATTTTCTCCATGGCAAACTCCGTACTGGGAGGCATTCCTGGATGAAAAAAAAAAACATTTTACCAATCTTTCCCAGCCTTCTAACCACATAGAGTGGTGCAGGAATGAGTCATCAAACCTGGAAATGAGTTAGCATTAACACAAGCTGAAGAGATTTTTGTTTTACGACCTAAAATACGTCAGTAAATACTCCACAAGTGAATTCAAAAACAGCGGTTGCTAACAAGTGTCTAAATGAAACGACTAAAAGTCATCACGCCCAACATTAGCCACCTTTAGCTTAGCGGTGGTGACGTGAAGTCATGTGACCGTGCTGTAGTTCCTTTATAGCCCAACATTAGCCTCCTTTAGCTTAGCGGTGGTGACGTGAAGTCATGTGACCGTGCTGTAGTTCCTTTATAGCCCAACATTAGCCACCTTTAGCTTAGCGGTGGTGACATGAAGTCATGTGACCGTGCTGTAGTTCCTTTATAGCCCAACATTAGCCACCTTTAGCTTAGCGGTGGTGACGTGAAGTCATGTGACCGTGCTGCAGTTCCTTTATAGCCCAACATTAGCCACCTTTAGCTTAGCGGTGGTGACGTGAAGTCATGTGACCGTGCTGTAGTTCCTTTATAGCCCAACATTAGCCACCTTTAGCTTAGCGGAGGTGACGTGAAGTCATGTGACCGTGCTGTAGTTCCTTTATAGCCCAACATTAGCCACCTTTAGCTTAGCGGTGGTGACGTGAAGTCATGTGACCGTGCTGTAGTTCCTTTATAGCCCAACATTAGCCACCTTTAGCTTAGCGGTGGTGACGTGAAGTCATGTGACCGTGATGTAGTTTCTTTATAGCCCAACATTAGCCACCTTTAGCTTAGCGGTGGTGAAGTGAAGTCATGTGACCGTGCTGTAGTTCCTTTATAGCCCAACATTAGCCGCCTTTAGCTTAGCGGTGGTGACGTGAAGTCATGTGACCGTGCTGTAGTTCCTTTATAGCCCAACATTAGCCACCTTTAGCTTAGCGGTGGTGACGTGAAGTCATGTGACCGTGCTGTAGTTCCTTTATAGCCCAACATTAGCCACCTTTAGCTTAGCGGTGGTGACGTGAAGTCATGTGACCGTGCTGTAGTTCCTTTATAGCCCAACATTAGCCTCCTTTAGCTTAGCGGTGGTGACGTGAAGTCTTGTGACCGTGCTGTAGTTCCTTTATAGCCCAACATTAGCCACCTTTAGCTTAGCGGTGGTGACGTGAAGTCATGTGACCGTGCTGTAGTTCCTTTATAGCCCAACATTAGCCGCCTTTAGCTTAGCGGTGGTGACGTGAAGTCATGTGACCGTGCTGTAGTTCCTTTATAGCCCAACATTAGCCACCTTTAGCTTAGCGGTGGTGACGTGAAGTCATGTGACCGTACTGTAGTTCCTTTATAGCCCAACATTAGCCATCTTTAGCTTAGCGGTGGTGACGTGAAGTCATGTGACCGTGATGTAGTTCCTTTACAGCCCAACAATAGCCACCTTTAGCTTAGCGGTGGTGACGTGAAGTCATGTGACCGTGCTGTAGTTCTTTTATAGCCCAACATTAGCCACCTTTAGCTTAGCTGTGGTGACGTGAAGTCATGTGACCGTGATGTAGTTCCTTTATAGCCCAACATTAGGTTTTTACTTCAAAAGTCCTTAAGTGGTGTTAATATGTGGAGATTATCCTGCTTAACAAAACGTGTAAGTATCATAAATGTGTGTTTACCAAAGATCGCATTTTCTGAAATAATCCAAAATCCAGTGGGAAACTCCCATTGGCTGTTTGTCGAGGGAGCCAATGAGATGCTACCTTCAGGGTCGGCTGCACTACTCTACATTTGAACATTCTTTCAGTGTTTTTACTCACCAGGACTGTTGTTGGGTATGTTTGTTCCCATTGGATACGGCCCTGGCCCTGGCCCTCCCTGGTTCATCATCCCATGCATGCTGTTCATACCCGGCCCGTACGGAGATCCTGTTCCCATCATGCCTTGGGACATGTTCGGATATCCAGGTGGCCTGCAGATGAGAAAGCTTGCTTAGAAACTCAGAAACAGAGGTGGAATTTTTCTGGTATCAGCACTTTACTCCACTACTTATTTTTCTGACGACTTTTGACTTTGACTTCTTACATTTTGAACCCAAATACCTGTACTTTCTACTTCTTACATGTTGAACACAAATACCTGTACTTTCTACTTCTTACATGTTGAACACAAATACCTGTACTTTCTACTTCTTACATGTTGAACACAAATACCTGTACTTTCTACTTCTTACATTTTGAACACAAATACCTGTACTTTCTACTTCTTACATGTTGAACACAAATACCTGTACTTTCTACTTCTTACATGTTGAACCCAAATACCTGTACTTTCTACTTCTTACATTTTGAACCCAAATACCTGTACTTTCTACTTCTTACATGTTGAACACAAATACCTGTACTTTCTACTTCTTACATGTTGAACACAAATACCTGTACTTTCTACTTCTTACATGTTGAACACAAATACCTGTACTTTCTACTTCTCACATTTCCCAAACAGGCTGGTTCCTTTAGTTTGAATGTGTGTTTGGTGGCGTGATCATTATTATTTAGAGTCATTGCGTGCCTATTGATTTGAACACGATCCGTGTATCCATCATTTCCTGGTCTTCTCTAAAGAAGTGGGACCAATGAAAACGTTGTCATGTTGCCGTTGTTCAGCATGGAAACATTCATTAGCTAACAATGACATTATTGTTCTATTAATATAAAGGGAGGTCAGGTACTCTTTAAAACAGCTGCTAGTTATGGGTACTTTTTACTGAAGTACATTTCAAAGCCCTCTTTACTTTTACTTGAGTAAAGAAGTTTAGTCAGTACTTCTACTTTTACCAGAGTATTTCTAAACACGAGTATCTGTACTTCTACTTGAGGAAAGGATGTGTTTACTTCTGCCATCTCGGCTCAGAAATAAAAGGCGTTTCTGGAACAAACCTATCAATTTTCCTCATTTTCAGCTTTCTAGGTTTAGCTCTCTTCTGCAGGAACCATCAATTTACGTCATATGACTCGAGCATTTGCCAAACCCACGAGTGTTTCTCTCTGTAGGCTGCGCTGGCATCCTCGCAGGGGAAATATGTGATTCACTCATCTCAAAAACCATCTCCTGTTTTCACACTCTCTCCACTTTTCCATTTTCTCTCACAGATAAGTGTTTGGTCTACTGCCATCCAGTCTGCGGCAACTCGAGCACACAGCGGACCGGCTTGCACGTGGGAAGAAGCTAACATTTTTTTATGGTAACACACAAAAACCTGCATATTCAACCAAAGACACACACACACATACACATTCAACCAAAGACACACACACACACACGCATTCAACCAAAGACACACACACGCATTCAACCAAAGACACACACACGCATTCAACCAAAGACACACACACACACATTCAACCAAAGACACACACACACACATTCAACCAAAGACACACACGCATTCAACCAAAGACACACACGCATTCAACCAAAGACACACACGCATTCAACCACACACACACACGCATTCAACCACACACACACGCATTCAACCACACACACACGCATTCAACCACACACACACGCATTCAACCACACACACACGCATTCAACCACACACACGCATTCAACCACACACACACGCATTCAACCACACACACGCATTCAACCACACACACACGCATTCAACCACACACACACGCATTCAACCACACACACACACACACACACACACACACACACACACACACACACACACACACACACACACACACACACACACACACACACACACACACACACACACACACACACACACACACACACACACACACACACACACACACACACACACACACACACACACACACACACACACACACACACACACACACACACACACACACACACACACACACCACACACACACACACACACACACACACACCCCTCTCAATGCAAAGTGTCATACTGACCCTCAAATGCTTCACAACGTCTCACTGAGAAAGTAAAGCTACATCAGCAATTATACGTTTATGCATGGCGTCCAGAGACTTTTCAAAAAGTATCTAATCAAATAAGCACTAGGAAAAGCGCTATTAAAAATGTATTATTATTATTAATCACCTGTTGTGTATGGAGTTTGTTGGTCCGTGGTGCATCGAGGGTCCTCCGTCCTTCCTGTTCATGCCTGGAGGCGGACACATCCCAGACGCCACCTGAGGAGGCATGCCGGCCATGTTTGCTGCCATCCCGGGGCCAAAAGGCCGGGGACCCATCTGTCCGGGGCCTAATCTACCGGGTGGGATGCCTCCGTACGGAGCCCCCCCCACCCTGACCAGGCATGGGGTTCATGGAGCCGCTCATAATTCTATCAGGCCCCGGACCTGTGGGGTAGTTAGCGTTGGGCATGCCTGTGTATCCGGGCTGCCGGGGGTAACCTGGAGAGTTACAGAGACACAGAAATAAGATAAGATCAAATAAGATGGAACTTTATTTATCCCCGTGGGGAAATTCAGGCGTTTATAGCAGCGGGTTAAAAATATTCCAACGTGCTCGCTAGCGCCACCTATGAAAGTCGTTTTTCGGAAAAATGTAGAAAGTCGCACCGTAACTCTGAATGACCTGACATTTTGCACACTTATCCATCTCGACCTGCTCTACAAATAATCCTCTTGGACCCCTAAGCTCCGCCTACTTTTATTACTTCACACAGGGTAAATATTAAATAGAATACAAATTAAAATAATAATACAGCAAGTGATAAAGTAACTATTACAACAAGATATTACCACACACACCTTTGCTGTTTTATTTTATTATTATTATTATTGTATGTATTTATCTTGTGTCTATTTTATTATTATTTTTATTGATCTATTAATGTACTTTTTTTTTTACTTATGTTGGCTGTGTAGATACAGCTAAATGAAAATGGAAAAACTGTTGATCAAAACGTGTATGTATAATGAAACTGAATCTGAAATAAGAACTAAGTAAAAAAAACAACAAGATATCACAGTAAAAACATGTAAAATATATTTACATACAACCCAGTCTCGCGGCACTTCGTGTTATAGTCACGAAATAAATGTAATCTATTGATTCGTGTTCACCAACACGATTTTTAGCATTTTTTTCGTGTCACACAGAACGATTTTAAAAGCAATGTATTTCTATTGGTAGTATGTTTCGTGCCTGCACCACGTCTTTTTGTCCGGTCGGGTCTTGGAAGACCAGAAGCTGTGTGGTTCATAAAACATGTTCTTACTCAATATCTTACCCTAAGCCTAACCCTTTTATTTTAAATTGTATAATGTCTGAGTGTTTTTGCCATCAGTGAGGAAAATAAATGGCTCAGAGCCTCAGAATACTGACATCTGTATTTTTTTTTCCCTTCTAATTTGTTATTATTTGGTGCAGGCACGAAACATACTACCAATAGAAATACATTGCTTCTAAAATCGTTCTGTGTCAGAATACTGAAATCTGTATTTTTTTAAAATCTCTTTTTCCTTCTAATTTGTTATTATTGCTTTTAAAATCGTTCTGTGTGACACGAAAAAAATGGCGAAATCGTGTTGGTGAACACGAATCAATAGATTAATTTCGTGACTATAACACGAATGCCGTGAGACTGTGTTGTTACATAAGAGTGCAGATCAGAGTGCAGGTTAAAGTCTTGTAAAACAGTGCAGGTGTTATGTTTGAACAGTCCTGGTTATGCAGATAGGTTTCCATTTCCTCCGGTCTATAAAGTCTTCTGCTTCCCTGATGAGCTGCAGACGTCCTGATCTAAAATGTTCCTCTGCAGCCTGATGGATTTCTCACTCACAACTTCTTCAAAAGCACAGAAACCATCTGAGACTTCAAAGTGCAGCGATGTGATTTCATAAATACATGAAGTGAGAGGGAACTTCAAAGCCTTTTTTTTTTAAATATATAAATCTGGGCCATCTATGAAAGTGAGATGATAGCAGAGCGACAACTCATTCATAATATTTTTTTACGAGTTGCCAAGGAACACATTGCATTTCCTGCGAACACCGTCACTTTTCCATTTAAATAATTGAAGCAATATGAAGGAAAGATATGAAGCTGCAGCTGTAGGAAATATCAGGTTTGCAACTCAATAAAGTAGTATGGTATAATTATTGCAATATTTGTTATCAATGTGCCATAGGCTCATTTCCCTTTGCCCTTATATCGATATATATAAAATATATATTGAAGATCACAGGACATTACCCGTTCACAATATTCTTTACGAGCTGCAGAGAAAACACTTTTGCAATAGCAGTAACTTATTATATATTTGCAGTTTTAATCAATAAAGTATTGAAATATTTTTGATCAATGTTCCGCATGCTCATTTCCTTTTGCATTTGCTTATTTATAGAAGTATACAGTGATGACTGCAGGACGACAACTTCATCATATGGTTTACGATTTTACGAAAGCGACTGTATAATTGACTCTCGCTCTGCGGTCTCACACAACGAGCAGAAGAAGTAGGGAAGAAGAAGGGAGGAAAGACGGAGGAAGTAGGAGGTGGCAGACAGCAGGGAGACACACACACACACACACACACACTTTTTCCAGTTTAATAATTTTGATGTGCAGTTGCAGCCATAGGAAATATTGACTTTCTTAAAACTGCAAATATATAAGTATTGCAACACTTTTATGAATGGCTCATTTACCTTTGCCTATTTGTCCATTATTATATATCATTAATAGTGGCAGGATTCATAATATTTGGAGGATTGGAAAAAAGAACCCTGACTAACTGACACTGTCCTCTCCTACGTTTTTGTCCACCAGTGAAGAGGGCATATAAAGCTTTTGACCCCCCCCCCCCTCCCTTGCCTCACCTTGCGGACCGTACTGGACCCCCTGAGGCCCGTAGTTTCCCATGGAGTTGTTCTGGGGATATGGTCCCATCCCAGCATGCATCTGGCCTCCAGAAGACTGGCGTGGAGATAAGGCGGAGCCAGGCTGTCCCGGGGACCCGTGCGGAGGCATCTGAGGGTTACGCATGTACACTGGAGAGGATCGTGAGAGAACGTCATTCAGGGTTCTGCAGCTTAGGGCGCTTTAGATTTAACACTTCTTTGAAATACCCCTCGGAAATAAAGTTAGGACAAATTGTCTGCACATCTCTATGCAATTCGGATACCTGCGTGACGTCAATGAGAGAAGCATACGTAATTTTATAGAGATAAGATCATTTATTTTAATAACAAATTAAGGCATTTTTTACCAATACATTCAAAGCTTTTAAAGACTTTATTACGCTATCAGGACTTGCATGACCTTAATGCGAGAGGCATTATTTGAAAATAATATCTCAGAAGAAAGCCATACATAACCAAAAAACCCTATTTTGTTTTACTTTTGAAAAATGTATTTAAGTAATTTTTGTACCAATAATGCATTTTAGGCCCAATCCCAAACCGCCCCCTACACCCTACCCCTACACACTACCCCTCCGTTTGCGCGGAGGGTCCGCCACATTAAGTGCTGTTCCAAACCAACGAGTGTGGAGCGGTGTGGAGGGGGGGTGGGCTATCAAGCCCTGAAACAGCGAGTCTGCATCGGTGCTGACTGGAGACCGGTCTCTACCTGACCGGTCTCTACCTGACCGGTCTCATCCTGACCGGTCTCTACCTGACCGGAGTCACGCTGTGTGTGTCCGTCAGGAAACACGCTGTTTACAAGTAGTTCCAGCAAACATCCACTGATAAACTGCGATGTTAACAACCTCATGATAACCTCATATTTTTTTATTTAGGATCATACCTGTGTTTAGTCTAGAAAAAGGTGAATGTGTGCATTTTATTATAAAGTTGTGTATAGTTACAAAAACTAAGAAGCTTAGCTTGCCGCTGTATTTACTCCCTCCATCTGACAGGAGGGAGCCTCGTTGAGCTGCGAGTGTCACTCCACGGAGTTCACTCCGTCACGGAGGGGGAGTGTGTAGGGGTAGGGTGTAGGGCGTGGTTTGGGATTGGGCCATAGAGTGATCAATTCAAGGTCTTTTAAGACTTTGAGGTTTTGAATAAGATACATAGTTCTTAGTAAAACACCTGTTTTCTCTGTTAATGCTTAAGTTCAGTAACACATCATGTCGCTGTGTGAAGAACTTCGCTCTCACAAACACACAGTGTGTCTGCTGTTACCCTCGGTTGACCTGGTGAGTACACTACAAGCACTTTTCTATTTAAAGATTCCGCCTGAGGAAGTGTTTACAAATGCAATAAAAAACACACACCTACGAGCAGCTGAGGACGGAGCCCTGTTGCTGCTTCTTTAAAACACACCTTATAAGCATGATTTGAACCCGTGTTGTGCAGAAAAACTCTTGATACAGGATGTTGAACACTCACCCCTTTCCTGGCCCATGGCTGACTGGTTCATGGGAGAGGAGTGCATGATGCTGTCTGACTGAACGCTGGGCGGCCGTGGAGGCATCTGATTACCTGAGGAGAGAAAACACACAAAGGATAAACTTTAAATGGACCTCCGAGTACATTTGTTCGTCTCTGTAGCAGCGATTTTTCGAGAAACTGTGTTAAATCGGTCAGGAAGAAATGGAAAAGACAGCTGACCAACTACTTTACTTTTACTGTTCTGACTTGTTGATCATAGAGTTATGGAAAAAGGCATCTTTGTTGAACCACACACACACACACACGATTTTCATTGTCATAACTACACTGTAGCTATATACAAATGACAATAAAAGCCTTGAAACTTGAATCTTATTGAAAACGACAACACTTTTTATTGCTGCCCCTTGGTATTCTGGGAGCTGTAGTTTTATAACAACAGTTGTTACAACCACCAGTAAATGGAGTGTCGCCAAATGACTAAAATCTTACAGATGTCCACTCCAATCTTTTGAAATATTGGCCATCAAAGCACCATAAGCCGATCAAATACAAATAAAAACAGACACTCCGTTAATCTGCGCTGAACAATGAGTCGTCGTAACTTCTGAGTCTCTGCCGTCTGGAGGCTTTCTGGCACCATGTTGGGAGAAAACGTCCCATCTGGCACGGCACTCCATGAATTACAAATGTTATCTGTTATGTATTTGTGAGGGGAATTAAAATCTCTAGATCTGTGAGCTGTTAGTTTACTCAATGTTTCACACAGCATCCAACTCCATATCTGACAACAAAGCTCCTATTTCTTTTTAGCAGGTGTTATTTTTACCTGCAGGATAACTAGTATTATTAAATGGACTGTAATTATATAGCGCTTTATCCAGTCTTTAAGACCCCTCAAAGCGCTTTACATTAGGGCTGTGCGATTATGGCAAAAATCATAATCACGATTATTTTGGTCAATAATTGATATCACGATTATCCATTTACTTTGAAAACATCCATATATTGAAAAGAAAATGTTGAACAGTATGTTTTTAACAGTTGATTACCCTGAACTTTAAGTATAATTCAACTGAAAAACCAATAAAAAAATAATTTTTTTTTTTTTTTTAAATAAAAATAATAATCGTTTTATTTCGTATTACATTGTTTTCGTAATCGTTGCAAGCCAAAATCGTAATCGAGATTAAAATACGATTAATTGCACAGCCCTACTTGACATACTACATGTCATTCACCCCCATTCATACAGAGCAGTGTACTCTAGGAACTAACATTCATACACACTCACACACCGTTGGCCATGCCATCGGGAGCAACTCAGGGTTAAGTATCTTGCCCAAGGATACATGTTGGCTGCACGGGCTGGGATCGACCCACAACCTTCTGGTTGAAAGACGACCGCACTCCCTCGCAGCCACAGTCGCCCTTATTACATCCTAAGCTGCTCAATTAATTACCATTTGATCAAATATAATATGCAATCTCACTGATGTAAGAAGCGCTGAAGTAGACCTCTCTTTTTGAATTAAATAAAACCAACACAGAGGACAAGGGCAGACTTTATATTCAAGCAGAACCAGAATGACTTCTCAATGATACTGAAGTTATTCAATTTAATGACATGAAATGAAACCAGAGGACAAAAGAGAGTCAGAGAACAGACAGACAGACAGACAGACAGACAAACAAACAGACAGACAGACGGACAAACAGACAGACAGACAGACAAACAGACAGACAGACAGACAGACAAACGGACAAACAGACAGACAGACAGACAGACAGACAAACAGACAGACAGACAAACAGACAGACAGACAGACAGACAGACAGACAGACAGACAGACAGACAGACAGACAGACAGACAGACAAACAGACAGACAGACAAACAGACAGACACAGACAGACAGACAGACAAACAGACAGACAGACAGACAGACAGACAGACAGACAGACAAACGGACAAACAAACAGACAGACAAACAGACAGACAGACAGACAGACAGACACAGACAGACAGACAGACAAACAGACAGACAGACAGACAGACAGACAGACAGACAAACAGACAGACAAAAAGACAAACAGACAGACAAACAGACAGACAGACAGACAGACAGACAAACGGACAAACAAACAGACAGACAGACAGACAGACAGACAAACAGACAGACAGACAGACAGACAGACAGACAGACAGACAGACAAACAGACATACAGACAGACAGACAGACAGACAAACAAACATAAAGATTTTACTTTATTATTATATTGAAATTATTGTCTTATTTTTATGTTCTACCGATTATTTTTGGAAAATATTATAATCTTTCTAATTTCTTATTTATTTCACTGTAATTTTTTGTTTTATTTCACTGATTATTGTTGGAAATTGTATAATCTTTAGAAGAAAGATCACTGAATTTACAAATGATAAAACGAGTGTTATTGTAGAAGCATCTCTTCATGTCATTTGTATAGTTACGTCCGACTGCAATAACTCTATAACAAATCTCCTCTGGCTGGAAGAGAACTCAATCTAATATTTAATAATCCATTCCTTGCACAATTAATGTATATATAATATCCTGCTTTATATTTTGCAACTGTACATTTGTATTTCCACATGTATATTTTTTTAATGCTATTTTATTTATATTTCAGAAATATTTTGGATTGCTTATTTCTAGTCTTTTAATTAATCTTAAATCAAAAATGAATGAATAAAAAAAAACACCAGTATTTTTTTCCGTTTACATACTGTTTCTTTACCTTGTATAGTTACGTCTGTAAATACAAAATGAGACGGGGGAGAGGGGGCCAGTGAATACAAAATAACTATATATTTCAAACCCCAGTAGTGAGTATTTACCTGGCACAGCAGCGGGGGAGAGGGGTCCGGTTCGGGACGGGGTGACGCTGGCAGGTGAGCCCACAGGTGAGGGGGAGGGTCCTCTGAGGCCCGGCAGGTGAGGAGAGGTGTGCGGAGAGAAGGGAGACTGGGCCGGGTTGCTCTGTTCTCCCTGACTGCTGGAAACACCTGAAGTGCTGACCCCTGGACTCAGAGCCCCCTCGGTGCCGGTGGGGAGGTCGTCTATGGAGCCCGAAAGATCCTGGGAGAAGAGGGAAACGTTAAATATGGGTTTTACAGAAAAGTTATTTAAGTCTCGAATTCTGGCACATTTTGGGTTTTCATCTGAGGACTTAAAGGTCCCCTATTATACTGTTTTTCATCAATATATCACAGGTCTCAGATATATCCAGAACCTGTCTCTGATTGTCTGAAACACCAAACAGATCATTGCAGCATTACCCATAATCCCCTCTGTTTCAGCCCTGTTTCCAAAGTGCTGATTCTCTGTCTGTTACTTTAGATGAAAAATAAGGAGCCCCTCCCCACGCCCATCTGAGAGAGATTTGGTTACAAAGAACACCATGGTGCTGTAGGAGGAGATTCAGGTGATTTGTGTGGTTTCCAGAGAGAAAGAAGGGGTAAAATAAATAAATATTTGAAGCAAATTATCTCTCATGATTGTGTTTTTGGGAAGGTGAATGTTTACACACACTTTCCGCTCACGTGGAGCCCATGTGTTCAGCTCAGAAATGCAAGCTCATCTGCCAGTCACATCAGAGTAGGAGTAGGAGGAGGAGGGATGGGGAAAAAAAACACCAGGGAGGAGGAGGGAGGGAAAAAAAAGCTCTCATTGGAAGGTGGCCAAACTATTCCCATAGAAATCTCACACTCTCAGGCTGGCTGCAGCCCCGAAGCCGGCGGTTTTGCACTTGAAACGGCGCCCGATGCTATTTTTGGGACATGACCTGATGGAGGAACCCCAGAGGGAGTGACGGGAGGAGAACGCTGATTCAGAATCCTCCCCCACCCTTTCTCTCTCTCCCTTTCTCTCTCTCTGGTGAATGCACACATGTAGGCCTTTTTCTGACCCGCTACTAAACCATGCAACCCTAAACTGAGGGCTTTATGGATGAGAATCACAAGTGTTTAATTGGTGGACATTCAAGATTCAAGGCTTTTATTGTCATGCGTACATAGCTACAGTGTATTTAAATCTTAGGTCACAACCTCCTCCAACAGTGCAACACAATAAAATATAAAATAGTGCAAGTAAATAGAATAGAAGTAGTGCCATAAGAGTCTATATACAAGTGGTAAATAATGTTCGAAAACTAGGGCTCGGCGATTCGAACAAATAATCAAATATCAGGATTTCTTTAGATTTGTATGGATATTTATGATGATATTGTAAAATTAACCATTTTAATGTCTCTTAGTTGGTGAATGCACAAACTTAGGGCTTTCTGAACCGCTACTAAACCATTGGCTGATCACCAAGTTTTGTTTACAGTAGGACTAGGCGAAGAAAAATCGAAATACCCAAATATTTTTGTACCAAATATCTTACATAAGCTTGCACATTCATCTGTGGGTTTTGCACATTTTGGTCCCGAGCGGCTCTTCCACTTCTTTTACTTTTAAACTCGTAAATAAGTCTGTTGCACATTATATTGGTTTGCTCGTCTGCCATTATTATAACACACATTCAAGCCTTATTTCAGCGAGCTTTTGTAAAGCCTGCTATTTCTCACTATAGAATAGTATTAACCTTTATCCATGTCTCAAACTATGTCCTGTTGGGCTCATAAATGTAATGGAATTGGGCTTGAAAAATGTTTAAAAGTCTTTACATCTGAACATTTAATAAGGTATGGTAACCTTGAATGAGTGAATCTTATTGTCCCCATCTTTCAATTGGGAGTATCGTTCTTTCCATGCAATTCATCACTCATCTTGCTTTATTTATCCACATCATCTGACCAATAAAGTACTGTATATTCTCTCTTTTATTGTATATCACAAATTGATAAAGTACCAATATCTTTCTCAGCTCTAGTTCACAGATCTGTGTGAGCGTCACCGAGATCTCAACGCGCCGGAGTTAAAGAGCAGAGATCAAACAGCATCACATTCATGATTAAACAACCATGGCGGGATCCTTTTTTCCAGGAAAAAGCCTCGTCACATGACCTACATCCCACCCACTCCCCTTCATCCAAACCCCCGTCTCCCCCACTCAGACATCACAAGACCGGTCATCTGACGGCTCGTTCTCCACGATGGCCGCCTCAAAAGCTGCCATTCATCAGAGAGGGCACAAGTACACACATCCTTTACTCAAGTAGAAGTACAGATACTCGTGTTTAAAAATACTCTGGTGAAAGTAGAAGTACTGACTAAACTTCTTTACTCAAGTCAAAGTAAAGAGGGCTTTGAAATGTACTTCAGTAAAAAGTACCCATAACTAGCAGCTGTTTTAAAGAGTACCTGACCTCCCTTTATATTAATAGAACAATAATGTCATTGTTAGCTAATGAATGTTTCCATGCTGAACAACGGCAACATGACAACGTTTTCATTGGTCCCTCTTCTTTAGAGAAGACCAGGAAATGATGGATACACGGATCGTGTTCAAATCAATAGGCACGCAATGACTCTAAATAATAATGATCACGCCACCAAACACACATTCAAACTAAAGGAACCAGCCTGTTTGGGAAATGTGAGAAGTAGAAAGTACAGGTATTTGAGTTCAACATGTAAGAAGTAGAAAGTACAGGTATTTGTGTTCAACATGTGAGAAGTAGAAAGTACAGGTATTTGTGTTCAACATGTAAGAAGTAGAAAGTACAGGTATTTGTGTTCAACATGTAAGAAGTAGAAAGTACAGGTATTTGTGTTCAACATGTAAGAAGTAGAAAGTACAGGTATTTGTGTTCAACATGTGAGAAGTAGAAAGTACAGGTATTTGTGTTCAACATGTAAGAAGTAGAAAGTACAGGTATTTGTGTTCAACATGTAAGAAGTAGAAAGTACAGGTATTTGTGTTCAACATGTAAGAAGTAGAAAGTAAATAGTCGTCAGGAAAATAAGTATTGGAGTAAAGTACTGATACCAGAAACATGTACTTAAGTACAGTAACAAAGTATTTGTACTCCACTACTTCCCACCTCTGCCATTCATCAGAAAAACTCATTCTGCTCCACCAACCCCTCTCTGACCCAGACCACGGGGCTCAAAAGGTTAAGGGTCAATTCCTGGGGTTGACTGGCTGCACGTCACGAGTCACACTGAGGGAACGAGGGTATTAACAAGGCAGGATCCTTCCTTTATAGAAGCAACCTTTAAAAGTGGGATTCAGAGAACTCAGAAGGTCCTTAAATGAGAATTAATTGAGTAAAAGTATACAAGAATAAGCCAATAAGGTTACTTAAACTACCTTATGTAATACACTTAAGGTTGTGATTTATGCAAAACATTTCCTTAACCTAAAGGGTTAATAAAAAATGCATAAAACCTCTTAGTCTGTCACCTTGCCAAAGTGTTTTTGGTAGTTTCTGTCACAGCATATGGCACTTCAGTTAGCATGGATAGGCTTCACTTATACTATTATTTAATATATGGAAAGAAAAAACAGCATATCTTTAACCATCATACATTAATGTTATTTCCTTTTTAAGAGACTGCTATGAGTTCCTTAAATGTTCTGAGAAAATCGTAACTAAGGCCTGTAGCAACAAATAAGGGAATAGTTAAGTAGCTGTGGGAAAACACTTACAGATTAAAGGGTTTTCCTTTAAGACCTTAAGGTGATTTTATGCAACATGATTTAAAAAAAGGCATACTTATTGGCAACCTAATAATAAAGAGGTATTCAAAAATATAGTTTTGTTATCAATGTTACTCAAAACAACAATAAGTTAATGTCCTTGAAAGAGATATTTTGTATTAAGTGTCCTTAAAATGTGTATTTCTGCAAATCCACCAAAAAGACTTGTATTTAAGCCCAGAATGCGAGCTCTTCACCATTCTGCAATATCTGACCACACACACACACACACACACACACACACACACACACACACACACACACACACACACACACACACACACACACACACACACACACACACACACACACACACACACACACACACACACACACACACACACACACACACACACACACACACACACACACACACACACACACACACACACACACACACACACACACACACACACACACACACACACACACACACACACACACACACACACACACACACACACACACACACACACACACACACACACACACACACACACACACACACACACACACACACACACACACACACACACACACCATTGATTTTTCCCAGCTCAATACTGCACAGCACCAGCCTGTTCTGCTGACTGCACAAACCGGACAGAAACGAAGGGGGAGGAGAGGAAGGGAGGAGAGGAAGGGAAGAGAGAAAAGGAGGCGAGTGATACTGATGCTGCGAGACTCTGCTTCTCAACCCGCTCATTACGAGAAACCAAATGATGAAGAGGATGAGCATCAGGAGGAGTTGAGGGTGAAGTTGTGAAGGTGTGTGATTTCACAGAGAGAGCAGCTTTGAACATGACAATTAGAGCAGCTTAATACAACAAAAATATCTACATGCAAGTAGAAAGAAAAGGGGGGAGATATGCCGAGCTGTGTTGTGTAGAGAAGCACAGAGCTGCAGTTCTTTCTGTGGAGCTCCTCTCTACGGCAGCCATTTTGTGCCGGTTTCCCAGCACTGCACTAACATGGAACTAACGTCAGAACAGCGACGGCAAAAATATACTGCAAAGTGGGTTTTAAAAAATGCAATCTAACGCAATTATTGTTGGTGAATGTGGGGAAAAGTCTTTTAAGTATTATTCCCATATCCTCCTCTCTGAGTCATCTGCTCTCTGCTCCACTAATGTATTCCATTTGCAGATTACTTCACTGAATCAATCAAGCAGAGCCATTAGTCTGCCGACGTCTTTCCCTTTTTTCTCCTCATGAGGAACAGAGAGCGGGAGAGATAATGAATCGGATGTGGAATGTGTGACCCTGCTCTGTAGTGTAACTAGATCTGGCGGTGGAGGTGGTGTGTGTGTGTTTGTGTGTGTGTTCAGAGTTCATCCCTCAGTCACACACTCTCTCTGACCCACTCTTCTGTCATTCTCAGACCTCAGGGTTGCTCTGGTTGGCAGAGTTCCCTTTTTCTCAAGCCTCCA